TTAATAATGATCAGAGGGTAATGGAACTGTTCTATACCTTGTGTTGGTTCCGTAATTATATGCATTTGTCAAAACCTACAGACCTGTACACCAGAGCGAATTTTATTCTATGTAAACTTTTTAAAAATGTAAAACCTATAGATAAAATCAGCCTACACGCCGTATGATTCTTTTTACATGACATTCATGGTAAAGCAAAACTATAGGGACAGAAAACAATCAGTGGTTCCTAGGATCTGAGGGTGAGAGTGGGGGTTGACTACAAAGGGGCCTGAAAATTTGGGGGGTGATGTTTACTGCGTATCTCAACTGTGATGCTAGTTCACTACTGTGTATATTGTTCAAACTCACAGAGGTTATAAACTTCTAAATATTTTTAAATTTTATTTTTCTATTACAGTTGACATACAATACTAGATTAGTTTCCGGTGTATAACATCATTAGACGTTTATATAACTTATGAAGTGATCACCCTTATAAGCCTCATACCCATCTGACACCACACATTATCACAATATTATTGACTCTATTCCCTGTGCTGTACTTCACATCCCCATGACTATTTTTATACTGGCAATTCACTTATTGAATGTAAATTATATATATATATTCTAAAGGTAAGTGGGGGGAACTCAAGAAATGTTTTTTTAAAAAAACGTGGTATGATGTAGAGAATCAGGAGTCCCATATTCTCACCTCGACAATGACTATAGTTCTTCTGTCTGATTTTGGCCAATTTCTGTTCCCATGCTGTTTCTTAGTCAAGATACCGCCTATTTCTAGTACTTAGTAACCAGCATCTCCTAGGAGTACTAGAAAATATTTTAAATGCTAAATTATGAAATGCCATATAGTTGTAAAATGGCCTTAGCTGTCCTGACACCCCAATTTTTCATTGTAACATACATCTACCAGGAGATGACAGTGTGAAATAAGCTGTACCTCATCCAAAACTCAGGGAAACGATAGAAGGGCCCTATTTTTTTAAAACCAAAAAAGATAGAATATATTTAAAGGCTGGCACACAGCAGGTGCTTAATGGATGATGAGAAGGCAGAACAATGTAGAGAACGTGGCCTGCTGCAGGTTATCACACCTGGGTTCCAATGGCACTACCACTTAATGTCGTGGGTGTCCTGACAACTACATGAGGCTGTTTATTTTTCCTACACGGGGAGACTAATCCCTTCCTGGCAGAGTGGTATTGAGGGTTGATGGAGGTGAACAGGTTTCCAGGGTTTGGGGGTTTGTGCTCAAGCAGTACGTAATTCTCTGCCCTGGCTGCTCCAGGACTCAGGAGCGGCCCGCGCTTCCGTTAATCAGCCTGCAGCCAAGGGCTCACCAATCCCTCCTATGGTTATACTAGGATTTGAAGAGGTAAATTTGGGGGTGACAACATGAGAGGCAAGGCTAAGATATGGCTCTGGGTCCAGAGATGGTATGGAAGTTTGAGGTGGTAGGGAGCAAAGACTGAAGCAATCTAATGCCCCATCCCTTCAAATGTGTCCAGTCTCAGGTAGATGGCTAGGAACTGAAGTCATGTGCTTAACCCAACACATGGAGTAAAGATGGTGTTTCTGCTGCCATCATCCACCCAGTCCCTTTGTGAGGGCCCCTGACACTAACTGGGCTTCTCTGTCCTTGTCTGTCCCCAAAGGAGGTGGCTTATTATATTTTAATGGGATATAATGACTTTGGACACCAGAAAAGGAGTTGGATGGTGTACCCCCAATTGACACCTGTCTTGAGGATGCAGCCTGTGAATAAATGGTACTAGAACCCTTTTGAATCACAAATTCAAATGCCGGTGCTGGGTGAGCCATGGTCATACAAGGGCGGGGCCCACCCAGAATGCTTCAGTCCAAAGGATTCCTCCAACTCAGTCTGCCTAAAAATGCCCTAAGGTGAGGTTTGCCCCTAACACACCAAACTGCCCTCCCAACTGGTGCCCTGTTTTCCCTTTGTGTGAACAAGGTGGCACTTACACTTCAGCACCAGCCAGGCTTGTGTGTTGTCTCCTTCCTGTCCTATCCCCAGAGCCTTCCAGACACACAAGGCTGGTCGCTGTTCACTCTACTCCCAGTGCAACCCAGGTGAGGATCTGTGTATCTGGGTGAAAGATGCGTGGCCTGCAGCCCATGTGGGAAATGTCTTGCAGCCAAGCTCTGTTATGGACTGGTAAAGAAATCATCACCCTCCAGGGACCACCAGGTCTACCAGCAGCCTAGCCTCTAGCTGCATGCTTAGCTGACCAAGAGAATTTGGTGAGGGATTGGCCCCCCTCTATCCTCAAGCAGCCCAACCTATAGGGTGGGGGATAAACTGTTAGCATCAGATGTCATAATTTATGTCTCTTGTCAAATATGATGGGGGCTAAATAAAGGGCATTGGGCTGGTCAGTTCCAGCCACTTGGGACCCTTTTTCTTCCCTGGAGAATGGAGGGAACAATGTGGGGGAGGTACGATGGAGGGATTCTTTTCATGTGTGTGTGCTTCAGGGAGAAGCAAACCATTTTATTTCATCTGTATCCCCCATCCCACTGGAACCAGTATTTGGAGAGTGGAGGGGGTGAGATCAGCCGATCAGTCACCAGCACTGTCATCAGTGTTGCCAGAGAGGTCGAGGGCAGACATCATGGAATCGGACAGCTTACTGGCGAGTTTATCTGCAGATGGAGAAATACAGGCAGTCATTTGGTGGCTGGCTTGCCAACAGGAGGCCTGCAGGAGCTAGCCTACATTGACCTGGGTCTGCACCAAACTCCAAAACTGGCTCACTTACCCCCTAACACTACACAAAACACCTGGTGGGCTGCAAGCAGCCATTGCTCAACATCTGAGGCAGACCCGTTTGTCTACGTGTGAAATGATCACTCCAACACATCTTCCATCTTAGAATGTCAGACTCACTGGGCTCCAAGAATTTTTATTCCTTCCCAGTAGCAAAATACCAATTTCCTTTTACTGTGTTGAACTTATTAGCACTCTGTCATCACCCTCAAAGTTCTCACAGCAAAGGGACAGCAAAGGGACACTAGGTACACTGATCCTGAATTCTCACCTCCCATCCTCGTCACACCCTATTGTTCTCTGGAAAGTCTTCTCTGACCACTCTTACCCCACTACCACCTCCAGACTGGGTGTCTTCACAGTGATCACTCTGTGCTGCCAATGTCTGTTTCCTTGTTTCCTCCTCACTCCCCAATAAGACCAGGAGTTCCAGGGCAATCCATCTCTGGATTCCCAGGCCTCAGTGTGGAACCAGGCCAAGAGTGAATGGTTAGGAACACAGGCTAGTTCAAAGAACAGAGCTCATGGGGTCAATGAATCCTAGGTTTTCATTTTGGTCCCATTAAATACTAGTTGCCTTGCCTTGAGTATGTCACTTAATGTCTCTGGGGCTCAGTTTCCTCACTGACCAAATGTGGGTAAGACTTTTACAAAGGGTTAGCGAAGGTTGGCATAGCATGAAGACAAAAATGGGCCAGCCACACAACAGACCACCACTAAAATGAAGTTCTTTTGAGAATTGACATGGAAATAGTCTCTAATATGTATTAAATGGAAAATGAAGTATTTGTAGAGAAAAAGAGAATAAAGAATATATAGATGTTTGCCTGTGTGCCTATCTCAGGAACGAGATACAAGGAATTAACTGGGCCCGGCTGGTGTGGCTCAGGGGTTGAGCGTAGACCCATGCAACAAGAGGTCACCAGTTCAATTCCCAGTCAGAGCACAGGCCTGGGTTATGGGCTTGATCCCCAATAGGGGGCATGCAGGAGGCAGCCAATCAATGTCTCTCTCTTTGATGTTTCTATATCATCAATGTTTCTATCTCTCCTTTCCTCTCTCTCTAAAATCTATAAAACATTTTTTAAAAGAAATTAATTGGTTGCTGCTGGGAGGAGGCCTGGCTGACTAGGGGATTGGTAAAACATTTTATTGTATATTCTTTTATGCCTTTTGGATTTTGAGTACAATGCCTATTGATAAAGTAACCATTATATATAGCCTATAAGCTTCCTAATACATAAAAAGCAGCTGATAAATAAATGGTGGTTATTTGATACACAAACTAGGCCAGTGTTCTCCAAGTGTGGTCCCCTGCCGAGTACTAAAAGCATTTTGGAAGCAGTTAGAATCACAAATTCTCAGTCCCCATGGCCAACCTATTCAATTAGAAACTCTGGAGACAGGTCCCCAGAAACATGTTTTTTAACAAGCCCCCTGGCAGTTCTGAGCTAGAGTTTGAGAACCACTGTGCCTATAGGTGAGCCTCCTAACCCATCCCTGGCCCTAACCCTTGCCTAGGGCTGGATACATGGAGGTGCTCACTTAGGAGCCCCTAATCAAGGCTCCAGGTGAGCCCTTTTAAGACACAGGGGGATGGTCAGGTATCCCCACCTGAACGCTTCTGCATCTTCTTCTTATTCTTCAAAGCACATGCCAGAGCCTGGCCCTGCTGCAGGGGGTCTGTCTCCATGATCTTCTGTACCATCGGGCGGCGGTCCACTGGGCAGATGTTCCTGGGATAGGAGTCCGCATTGCGCTTAGCCCACTCCTTCTGATGACCATTCGAATTCATGCAATACTCAGTGAACTCTCCATTCTGGTGAGACAGAGGACAGCAGTGAGTTCTGGACCCCCCCAAAGTTACCTGCAAAGACTTCTGCAGAAGAGGCAAGGTAAGAACAAGGAGCTTGGAGCTACTCCACCACTGACTAGCAGGTTCTTAGTTAACCTCTCAGCCACAGCCTGATCATCTGTCAAACGGGGGTGGATAATGAGTAGCCTGCATGGCTTTCACAGGGAGAAAATGAAAAAGTAGAGGTACTTGATCAGTGACAATTGTGTTACAATGATTCTTTGCTCAAGTGACCCTTCAAGGTCTTAGTCAAGGTAACAAATACTTTCTGATACCTATTTTGTGCCCAGCTCTGTGTAGGGACATGCTGGAGAAATGAGCCAGAAGCAGTTCCATCCTTGGGAAACAAATCAGACTAAAAAGGTTACAACCAACCATGCAAGACAGAGTGTGTTAAGTGCCCACCAGAGAGACACAGTGTAAATGACAGAGGTTGAGGGAATGGTTGTGGTCAACATACTTCTGATAGGAGTCATTCCAGACTGAACACTGGAAAAGCACAGAGTATAACTGGGCACCCAAAAGGGTGTCTGTTGGCTAGAATTGAAGATACATGTGGGGGGAGAGGGCTGGAGGAGATCAGTGGGTAAAAAGGGGGACATATATAATAGTTTCAACAATAAACAATTACTTAATAATAAAATAAAAGAAGATACATGTGGCCCTAGCTGGTTTGGCTCAGCAGATAGAGCGTCGGCCTTTGGACTGAAGGGTCCCAGGTTTGATTCCGGTCAAGGGCATGTACCTGGGTTGCAGGCACATCCCCAGTAGGGGGCGTGCCAGAGGCAGCTGAATCAATGTTTCTCTCTCATTGATGTTTCTAACTATGCCTCTCCCTTCCTCTCTGTAAAAAATCAATAAAATATATATATATATATTTAAAAAAGATGCACGTGGGTAGTAAAAGCTAATGACAGAAAGCTCACTATGTGTCAGGCAGACACCATTCTAAGCACACATATTATGTGTATGTGTACAACAGATATATATACATGTACACATACCTATTAACCCATTTAATCCTTACAACAATGCTATGAAAAACAAGGGCATGCATGACTACTTGCTACACTACAACGGGGAAAAGGCCAGGCACACTGTTCAACTCTGGGGTTGTGGGGGCGGGGGGCACCCTTCACAGTATAACACACCCAAAGGGCATCTCCCCGAGTCAGACAATAGAGTGCCCCTGCTCAGGGGCCTGAGCCTGAGTCTGGAGGTTATAGTAAAGAATGGGGAACTACTATAGGTCCCCAAGGGAAAATGGTATGTTATGGGACTTATGGGCTCAGTGGGAAACATCAGGGGATGGCCTTAAACACACAACTTGATACTAATTTTCCTGTAAGCACCAGGGGAACCTAAGTGAGGATGGGAATGGTGTGAAATCCTGCCGCTGCCCCAGTGCAGGCCTCACCATCTCTGAAGAGTCCAGGTGACAGCTTCCTTCCTGGACTCCCTGCCTCCACCCTGGCCCCTTACTTTCTAATCTGATTTTTACCCCAGCTGCCAGAGTAATGTTCTAACATACAAACCTGACCATGTTGCTTAAGAAACCCTTCCAGATATTATGTAGCCATCAAAAAAAAAGGACAGCTCTTGGCACTGGCTGGTATGGTTCAGTTGGTTGGAGTACAGTCCCTTACAACTAAAGGTGGCAGCTTCCATTCCCGTCAAGGCGCATACCTAGGTTGAGGGTTCAATCCCCAATCAGTCATGGTGCATACAGGAGGCAACTGATTGATGTTTCTCTGTCACCCCTCTCTCTCTCTTCCTCCCCCCCCCCTCTCTAAAAAAAATCAATAAAAACATATCCTCAGGTGAGGATTAAAAAATAAATAAATGATAGCTCTATGAAGTAATCATGTGGGACAATCTATAAGATGAATTTGTAAGTGAAATAAGCGAAGTGGAAAGCAATATGAATAGCATACGACTATATGAATTAAAATAGATCTCTGTACCTGCTTGTATGTATATATGTGTGTATATGAAGCTGAAATAGCTCTGAAAGGACACTCAAACCTGCTAATGGTGACTGCCTCCAAGGAGGAGACAGAGTGGCTGGGAAATAGAAGCAGGAGAGAGATTTACTTGTCACTGGAGACCCTGTAGTTCCTTTTAAATTTTACCATGTACATGCATTACCTAATCAAAAAAATAATAAGAAAAAAGAATTTTTAAAAATATACTTTATTTATTGATTTCAGAGAGGAAGGGAGAGGGAGAAACAGACAGAAACATCAATGATGAGAGAGAATCATTGATAGGCTGCCTCCTGCACATCCCACACTAGGGATTGAGCCCGCAACCCAGGCATGTGCCCGTGACCGGAATCGAACCTGGGACCCTTTAGTCCGCAGGCCAACGCTCTACCCACTGAGCCAAATCAGCCAGGGTAGAAAAAAGATTTTAAATAAACAAAATGGGGGAAAACAAAACCCCTTGACCAACCCGCATCTCCCCACCATTATAGGCAGACATCATGGGGAGCCAGGCAAAAGGGACTGACCACTTCCCAGAGCCGTGGGTAGAGGAGAGGGTTGCCATAAAGAAAAGGGACAGGTACCTTATACACGGTGGTTTTATTTTCCAAGGCATCTACTATTTTCATCATTGGAGAATGGAAACATTTGATCTCCGTTTGAAGTGAGTCGATGTCACCCAAAAGCTGATCAGATTCTCCATTGGCCAAGCCTTTAACACAAGCAACAGCACTGTCAGAGCCCTGGCTCCTTCCTGCTGCTAGCCTCCTGGTCAGGCCTCAGTGGATAAGATATGTGGACATCGCCCAGGGGAGTTGGGAGGGAAGGCTCTTTCATTCCTTCTGGGAGGCCCCAGGACAAAAGATTAAAGGCATGGGTTTTTGGAGGAGGGCACTAGCCTGCCTGAAGCTGGCCTCCCCTGCAAACCACAAATGTGCCCATTGCTTGGGCCCACACCACCCTCACACCTGCTTCTCAACTTCCCTTCCATCCCCTTCCCTGAGCCTATAATCCCTATTCACTCTTCAAGATCCAACACTAGGGCCAACTCCTTTAGTAGAAAACTCTCACTGGGAACCTCCCCCTCTTCTCAATTTCCCAGACCTCCAACTTTTGCTCAGTGCATTCTCAGTGACGGAGCCCCTGTTGCCCTCACATGCAGCTAGGGCCAAGCATCATCCTAAGAATGAGAGCGGCAATTCCTCCCAACTGCCCACGTGATACAAAAGGAAAGGAGCGTTCAGAAAGGGGTCTGACTTGCCCGAAGCCATTTGGGAAATAAACTCTAAAGCAGGCAAGTTCTCTTATCCTCATTTGGAATCCAAGGACACCAAAAAGCCCAGAGAAGGACTACCGGTCCTCAAAAAAACAACAACAACAGAGAACTGCCGGAAGCCGGTCCGTCCTTGCTGCTTGACACAGTCGCTGCAGGAAAGAAACATCTGCACAGCATATGGTTCAAGGGACCTGGCGTGTATAGCATACTGTTCTTAATATGTTTGCTCCCCTTACCGCTGTGTGTTTTAACCAAGGTCACCTCTCCAAGAAAGGTTGTGAACCTCGCTGAAGAACCTGGCAACAGAACCTGGCGACAGAACCTGGCTGGAGAACCTGGACAGAACCTGGCTGGAGATCCTAACGAGATCCTGGCTAGAGATCCTGGCTAGGCTGCTGATCAACTGAACGCTGCCTCTGTGTCCTTCCTTCTTCGCCGACTCCGTCCACACCTTTGGGGACCCCTGGACCTGCTGGGGTTGGACCCCAGCAGAGAACTAGAAGGCAGGCCAGCCAGGGCTTTCTCTACTACCCAGAGTGTCCACAGACTGATCCAGAGAGCACTGGGTACCTTTCTAGGGTAAGATAGAGAAAGAGAGGAGGAGCCATAAGCCAGGGCTGCAGATGGTAGTATCTGAAGACAACAAACTTCCTCCCAGAGTTTTGGAAAACCATAACAGCTCATAGTTACCAAAAAAGTACTACAGCCCAGCCAGTGTGGCTCAGTGGTTGAGCATCAACCTATGAATCAGGAGGCAGCCAATCAATGATTCTCTATCATCATTGACTAGAGGTCCAGTGCATGAAATTCGTGCGGGGGGTGGGGTCCCTCAGCCCAGCCCACTAAGGGTCCCTCACCCTCTCCAATCCAGGACCCCTCAGGGGATCCCTGCAGCACCAGGTCTAAACCAGTAGTCAGACATCCCTCTCACATTCTGGGACCGCTGGCTCCTAATCTCTTGCCTACCTGCCTGCCAGCCTGATCGCCTCCTAACTGCTCCCCCGTAACAGCCTGATCAGCCCCTAACTGCTCTCCCCTGCTGGCCTGATCACCCTCTAACTGCTCCCCCCTGCTAGCCTGATAGCCCCTAACTGCCTCTGCCTAAGCCCCTGCCACCATGGCTTTGTCCAGAAGATGTCTGGCCTAATTAGCATATTACCCTTTTATTAGTATAGATGTTTCTCTCTCTCCCTTTCCCATCCTCTCTGAAATCAATAAAAACATATATAAAAAAGAGAAAGCACTATATACATGCCAGTCACTGTTCTCAGTGCTTTTATGTGTTAAATAACATGTGGACGCTATAGTCCAGTGGTCAGCAAACTGCAGCTCGGCAAACAGCGGCTCGAAAGAGCCGCATGTGGCTCGCGAGCCGCAGTTTGCTGACCGTGGCTATAGTCCATCTTACAAATGATGTCGGGACATGGAGAAGTTAAGGAACATGTGCAACATCACACAGCTAACAAGAAACAAAATTTGGATTTGAATCTGGATGGTCCCTTCTTTTAACCACTCTGAGGTGGGAGAGTCTTGGACAACAGCAGAGGAGAGCTGCTTTGAATGCCACCTCTGCCTCCACTGACTATGCATCATTCAGCAAATATCACCTTTCTGTGTCTCAGATGCCTCACCCATCAATGGAGGTAAGAATGAAAATCTAGGAGTGGACATGCAGTGGCTGAGGCGAAGCCTAGGGCATGAGAGGAGGGGTTTTTGAGAGAAGTGTCTCTGTCCACACCAGGTCCCAAGAGACGGAGAAAGGAAACTTACATTTCCTGAACACCTCACGGTGTACAGTACTTTGCAGATTTTCTTCCTATCTACCAAGAGTCACAACCAGCCCCATGGCTCAGATGAGAACTCTCCACCCTGTGGGTGAAAAGCAAACTTGGAGCTGGTTAACTAATTTTCTCAAAGCCAGAGCAGGGCCAGGGAAGGGGGAGGTCAAACATAGAATTTGTTGTCAGGTCCCTGTGGCTCCACTAGGGCAGGACCAAGTGCAGTCAGGCCAGTCCCCTCGCCCTCACTTACATTCCATGGTGTCTTCATTGGCCTGCTCGGTGTCCTCAATGTCAAAGACTTCGGTCATCTCCTTAACAATCTCAGCGCTAAGATGGGTGGGCAGAGTGTGCGTGGCGGGTGGAAGTGTGTAGAAGCTGATCTTCCCACTACATTGGGAGGTTGGAGGAAATTGGTGGTGATGTCACTGAGAGAACAATTGACCAATCACAGAAAGAATGAGTTCCCGAGTCAGAAACAGTGAGGGACAATGAGCAAACCCAGCCGGTGGCTTCTGAATAAGACGTTGAGTTGCTAGATAATCACTGACCCAGGGTCCTACAGCCCAGTCCCCTTTGTGGAGCCTCACCCCTACCCCTACCCTCCTCACCTCACCCAGTCAGACAGGACTGCTTTGGCTGCCTCCTCCTGATTATAGATGCCTCCCTTCTTCTTTTTACCCAATCGCTGGGCCACCGCCATCAGAAAGTGCTCGGTGGTCTGGAAGCCAGAGACGCCGTAATAGTTGGAAATCTGGTGACGAGAGGAAGAGGAGAAATCAGGAAAGAGAAGGAAGGGTCCTTGGAATGGGTTAGGGCATAAGCAAGAGCCCTACGCACCTCCTCCAGGTTACAGCGTTGCAGGATGGTCTCCACCGGGGTCACGGGGTCCGCCAGTTTCTGCACGTGGATGCAATTGCGCAGGATGGTGCCCACCTCCGAGTTGGGTCCTGGGACAATGCCTGGGGCATCCAGCAGCCTGATAAACTTGTCCAGGTGGACCTCCTGCATGAACCTGGGCAGGAGAGGAGAAGATGCAGGACACTGATGAGGCCAGATGTGTCTGGCATCCTCTAGGCTCCAGGCACACAGCTGAGAGAAGGGGGGAGGGGGTGGGGGCAGATGGCACACAGATTAAGGTGGAGAGATGTAGGGCCAGGGGTTCGGAGTCCTACAGAGCTGGGACTGATCTAGTCTAGCCTCTGCCATTGGGGACTGAGCTGCAGGACCATGATCAGCTTTTAACTCTCTTGAGCCTCAGATGCTTCATCTAGGAAGCTAAGCTGCTTATTCATAGCCCAATCCTGCATGGCTTCAAGGAGCTAATGGAGGTGAGAGGGGACACCCAGCTGGGAGCCTAGACCACACCTAGGGTGTACCAGGTAAACGCAGGCTGTTAATGAGACTCACATGCCCAGGGAAGAATCAGAGGCTGCTCCGAGATAAGGAAAGGAGCAGGGGCTGAAGGAGTGAGAGGAGAGGGAATGGTGAGTCAATGGAAGTGGGAGAGCAGGCAGATGCTTACTTGGTGATCCCAGGAACGGCTCCCACACTGCAAGCACGGCTGCGTTTCAGACTGTTGATCAGGCTGCTCTTCCCAACATTAGGAAGGCCTACAAAAGAGCAGCAGGTGGCTCAGGGCAGGAGGGGCCCTTAGAAACATTTGGGCCACCCTGTATGGGGGAGGCTCAGGTAGGGACAGTGACCAGGCCACGAGGAAGCAAAAATCAAGAGCCTGGCCTTTTGCCTTCCCACCCCCAGGCCCTGACCAATTCCCTGCATGGCCTTTTTACCCCTCCTCTCAATTTGTAAGCACACTGGGTAGATATGTCCCTCTCTCTAGATGTGACAGTCACCTCCCACCTACAGCCAGCCTGGGAAAGGTGCTCAATGCAAGTACTCTGCAACATGATCCAACAGAAATGGACAACGGGAAGCGTCCATAAAACAGACAACCGTCTATCCTGGTGTGTAACTAACCGGGATGGGGGACTCATCTCCAGGTGTCCCTCTCTCTGAGCAGCTGTCAACTTGTGTTTTTCTGTTTGGGCATCTATGAGCACCTCTGGGTTTGTGGATATCTTTGTATTTCTCCCTCCCTGGCTCTCTCATTATCACCATTTTCCTTCTGTGTCCTAGACGTTACATATCTACTGCTCTTTTTTATTTTTATTTTTTTAATATATTTTATTGATTTTTACAGAGAGGAAGGGAGAGGGATAGAGAGTTAGAAACATCAATGAGAGAGAAACATTGATCAGCTGCCTCCTACACATCTCCTACTGGGGATGTGCCCGCAACCAAGGTACATGCCCTTGACCGGAATCGAACCTGGGACCTTTCAGTCTGCAGGCTGACGCTCTATCCACTGAGCCAAACAAGTTTCGGCTCTACTGCTCTTTTTTAAAAAATATACATTTTTATTGATTTGAGAGATGAAGGGAGGGGGAGATAGAAACATCAATGATGAGAATCATTGATTGACTGCCTCCTGCAAGCCCCACAATGGGGATCGAGCCTGTAATCTGGCATATGCCCTGAGCAGGAATCGAACTGTGACCTTCTGGTTCATAGGTTATCGCTCAACCACTGAGTCATGCCGGCCAGACTATGTATATACTGCTCTTTCACAGATGTGCCTGTGTGTGTTGAAATCTCTATACATCTATCTGTGAGTGCATATGCGTGTGAGTGCACATGCATATGCATGTATGTGTATGTTGATTGTTCTCATTCTAAATATTACTGCTTTTGCCATGTTTTTACTTTCCTCAGTCTTTCTCTCTATCACATCTCTTTCTCTGTACATCTCTGTATCTAAGCATCTTTCTTTGCCGGTTTGTCTCACTGTCTCTCACTCTAGCCATTGTTCTTTCTTTTTTTCACCCCACCCCACCAATTCTGCCTCTTTGTAATCACATTCCTTCCCCCAGTGGGCACCTCTGTACATGTTTCACAGTATCCCCTTTTCTCTCTCCCAGTCTGTTTCTCCCAAACCACCTCCCTCCTTCCTCTCTCTATGCATATATATCTCACTCTAGACATGTCTGTATATCTGTCTCTGTGTGAATCAGGGTGTGTGCCTGTAGAGTCTAGTGGATCTGGGCACATGTGTCTCTCTTTGGCTCTATTTGTGTGAAAAAAGCAGAGTTAGGGTGAGTGTGTAGGAAGGGCTTGGTTTGCGTGTGATTTGCCCCTGAGTCTGCCTGCCTCTAAAGGTGCCTTCTCTGGGTCTATACATGTCTCCACACATGTGCATCTGCACTTGTTTATGGATCTGTATGTGTGCATAGGCCTGTGTGTGTGTGTGTGTGTGTTCCTCCATGTCTCCATGTTTGTTCTTGCTTGTTTCTATGTGTCTCTCCAAATCTATCTCTCCAGCCCTGTGTTCATTTCTCTCATTCTTTCTTTGGGTATGTATACAGGTCTGCCTCTACATATACATGGGTGCCTCTAGTCCTCTTGTTTCTCTCGGTGGGACTCCGTGCATGTCTGTCTCTATGCCCATTTGGTATTTCTTTCTGACCACATATCCATCTCTCCGCATGCCTCTATCATTTAAATGTCTCTCCTCTCCACTGCCCGCCAACTCCACCCCTTGGCTTTCCAGTTCCTTTTCTGTCTATTCAGGTATGTGTATCTACACCCTTTTCTCAATGTCCGCTCTCTCTGTCAATGTCTTTCTCTGCTGGCTTCACTTCCTCTCCCTGCTGCTCCACCTCTGCCTCTCTCAATTCCCCTGTTCCAAACCCACCATCCTCCCCTCGATGCCCTGAGATCCAGACAGGCCCAGGTTTGAGCCTCAGCTCTGCCTTGTCTCACACAGAGCTGAGACCCTCAAGTCTCCTTCCCATCTCTGGGCCTCAGTGTTCTTATCTGTGAAAGGGAGATGTTCACCACTCCTTCCCGCAGCTTGGGTAGGATAAGATGGTACCAACTCCAAGCCTAGCCCTATGCATTTGGTCCATGGTTCTAAAATGCAGCACGTGGCCTGGCTGCATGGCTCAGTGACAGCATCGCGACCCATGGACCAAGAGGTCCTGGGATCGATTCCCAATCAGAGGACATATCTGCATTGCAGCATGATCCCCAGTAGGGGGCGTGCAGGAAGCAGCCAATCTATGTCTCTCGGGGATGTTTCTATCTCTGTATCCCTCTCCATTCCTCTCTCTAAAATCAATAAAAACATATTTAAAAAATAAAATAAAACGCAGCGCATGGTGATGATTCTGAGTATGTGTTCCCACGTCCACCATTCCAAATTACAAAGCACAAAACCCTTCCCCCCAAAAAGGTGACACCAAGTTCCCAGGATCCTTTCCCGCAATGAAGCCCCTGTCCAAAGGAGAGCCTGAGCCCTGTGACCTCTCCCCAGGCGCCTTACCCACAACGCCCACACGGATATGGGTGCGCACTTCACCGAGGCGGCAATAGTTCCCCAGAACCCTCATGAGGTTTTCAGCTCCAAAACAGGCTTTGCTCTTCAGCAGTGACTCGGAGGCCTGCTCCACGGGCACACTGCAGCGGTTCTAGAAAATGAGGAATAGTACAGCAGAGGCATCAGGAGGGAGATGTGATTTGAGCCCCGAGTTTCAACTTTCAGGGCCTGCCTGTGATCAAGGAGATCCTCAGGCCAAAGTGGGAGACTTCTCACACAGGCTCCAAACCTGCCGTTTCTCTGCCCCCCTTGGAGACCCGCGGTTCTGGTTTTCCAGTCTTCTTTGTCCCTGTCTCTGCCTACATATGTCTCAGCAGGGACAGTATGGCATCCTAGCCTTGAGACGGGCCAGGCTGGACTTCCAACTCTTCCTCTCACAGGTGTGTGCCTAGCAAATCTTGCTTCCCTTCTCAGGACCTTGGTGCCCTCGTGTGCACAACAGGGATGCCCGCCATCCCAGCCTGCAAAGGGAAAGATAATGCCTGGCCCACACACAACCCACCTTCCCTTGATTCCTCACACAGAACAAGGCCATTCCAGCCTCTCTTTTTCTTAAATATGCTTTTATTGGTTTTTAGAGAGAGAGGGGAAAGGAGAGGGATAGAGAGAAACAAAGATGAGAGAGAAACATCACTGATCGGCTGCCTCCTGCATGCCCCTCACTGGGGACTGAGCCTGCAACCCGGGCATGTACTCTGACTGGGAATCGAACCTCGACCCCTTGGCTCATGGGTCAATGCTGAACCAACTGAGCCACGCCGGCCAGGCCATCCTCTATGTCTTTACTCCTGATGCTACCTACTCTACCCAGAATACCCTTCCATCTCTTCCTCTTTCCTTACTTACCCACCACACTATTGCAAAATAGAAATTAACCTAAATATCCATCAACAAGAAGCAGGTTAATGAGATATATCCTTAAAGTGGAATACAAATGAAAGAAAGCTAATAGCAAAGGATTCTTACCACATTTCTGCCATGAAAAAGGTCAAAACATTTTAAAATAAGATATCATGTGGCCGAAACCGGTTTGGCTCGGTGGATAGAGCGTCAGCCTGCGGACTAAAAGGTCCCGGGTTCGATTCCGGTCAAGGGCATGTACCTGGGTTGTGGGCACTTCCCCAGTGGGGGATGTGCAGGAGGCAGCTGATCGGTGTTTCTCTCTCATCGATGTTTCTGACTCTCTATCTCTCTCCCTTCCTCTCTGTAAAAAATCAATAAAATATATTTTTAAAAAAAGATATCATGTGTCTGCCAGATTAGCAAAGATGAAAACATTCAATGATATCAAATGTTAGCAAAGGTGGAGGGAAATAGGCCCTGTCACACATTCATTACCCCATTGGCGGGAAGATAAATGGTGCAGCCCCTTGGTGGTGGGGGGGGTGTGCAATTTGTCTGTGTCTAAGAAAATATAAAATGCATAAAGCCTATGACACAGCCACTCTACTTCTCAATACCTAACCTACACAAACATGTGCAAGAGTATGTGTTGAAGTACTGGTTATAACAATAAAAAATTGAAAACTAATTTTAGCTAGCATTAGAAGATAGATCTCAGTAAAAAGATATCCAAGAGGGGAAAAAAAGCAAGCCGCAGGATAAGATATGATACCCACAAACACAGTTTTCTCTTTATATACACTTCCCTGTGTATATATAAAGTACAGAAAAACATCTGGATCCTTCCATACTTACAATGATGGTTACTTCTGGTTATATGTGGATAAAGGAGACTGGAATTAAGGGTATTGGTGGAAGAGTAATTAAGCTTTATATGCAATTGTTTTTATTTTATTTTTTTTACTTTTTATCTTTTAATAAAATTTATGCTGGTGCAAAACTGAAAAAATATCCCCAGCACCAGTTTCTCTCCCTAGAAGCAACCAATGTTTCTATATACTTTAATATTTTATGATAAAACTGTATTTCTATGTTAATGATCTATTAGAAAGTAGTGTGATGTTTTAAAGAGAAAAACAGAGGCATGTATTTTAAAATGGAATAGATCTCTATATTTTCCAATATGTATTACCCTTACATCTGGAGAAAATGCTTAAGAGCAATAATATAGGAAGAAATGAAATGAATAGTAAGTCATCCAGTAAAGCAAAAAGCTCAAAGCTGAAGGCCTAATTCAATTACCAAAGAGTTGGAGACCCAGTCCAAGGCATCCCTGGCCCCAGGCTATCCTGAAAGAGTCTAGATGCCCCTTGCCCCTGCTTACCAGGTTTTTGACCTGATGCTGGGTGCTGGCCTTGAAAGCCACAGTTGGCAGCTCATTCCGAAGGTAATCCAGCCACTTTTCTATAATCTCCTTGGGGACCAGGTCTGGGGAAAACAGGAATTGATAGAACAGGTAAGGAGAACATAACTTCGACAGCTCACTCGGAAGATGCATCTACCCATACCCGAGGCTAGGCCCACCTCCTGACAAAGACAGCTCCCTGGCCCTGGCAGTCCCTGTACAGTCCCTAAGTTAGAGTTAGAAAGGACACTGTATTCTAGGGGAGCAGTTGGCCCTCCCTGAGGGGATCTCTATTCCCTCAGGGAGAATGGGAAAACTAGCTATTAGGTCCCAGGTCTCCCAAAGATTATGTTTCCAATCCCCTCTTGGATCATTCTAATTTGAACCACAAATGCCAAGAATAATGTGGGCAAAATGGCTACCATTTGTGAGGTACTGACCACACATATACCAAGCACTTTATTATTAATTCTCACAACAACACTGTGAGTTGGGACAATCACAGCCCATTTTAAAGCTAGAGAAATGGAAGCTCTTAGGTGATAGGACTTGTCCAAGATCCCAGACAAAAGAGCACAAGTGAGATGAGAGCCAGACCCGAGTGACTCCTGAGTCCATGTGCTTTTGTGCCCTAGTCTCTGGGTTCCAGCTTGGAGAAGACACTCTCCAGGGATGGCCAGTCACAGATAAGGCTTAAAATAGCAAGAATGGAGGAATCAAAGGCAGCCGGGCTTGCACACCATTCCCAGCTTCTGCTGCACTGTGTCTTTAGACCAGGGGTGGGGAACCTTTTTTCTGCCAAGGGCCATTTGGATATTTATAACATCATTCTCGGGCCATGCAAAATTATCCACTTAAAAATCAGCCTGATTTATTTGGTCAAACATTTAATTAACTCACCCCTAATGCCTTGGCAGGGCCAGACCAAATGACTTGTTGGACCTTATACAGACGTTCCCCACCCCTGCTTTAGACAAATGATTTCACCTCTCAGATTCCTGGCTAGAAAGACTGTAACAAGAATTCCTACGTTGCACAAACTGTTAGGAATACCACTGAAGTGGCTGCATCTCAGGATCTGGTCAGAGTTGGTCTTTCAAGAAGGCCTGCCCCTGCCATGCCTCACCCAATGCTTCTCAATACCCACCAATCTTGTTCAAGACCAGGACCAGCTTCTTGTTGCCCTCTGCCCGCAGGACCGTCTCCTCCATCTGGAAGCAGCGGCAGCCCAACGGGTCCCTGGCGTCCAGAACTTCCAGAATCACATCAGAGTACTCCACTACCTGCAGGGCAGAAGGCGAGGGATGGAGGCAGGCAGAGGATTGGGTAGCAATCGCAGAGGCCCATGAATGAAAAGGCCTCCATCTCAGTCAGGGAAAACAGAAGTGGAGAGGAGATGGGACTGGATTGGTACCCTCCCTGAAGGGACTTAAGAAAAGAGTCCCACCCTAGCTGGTTTGGTTCAGCCTGTGGACTGAAGGGTCCCAGGTTCGATTCCAGTCAAGGGCACATGCCTGGGTTTCGGGCTCGGTCCCCAGTGGAGGGCATGCAGGAGGCAGCCAATCAATGATTTTCTCTCATCATTTATGTTTCTATCTCTCTCTCCCTCTTCCTTCCTCTCTGAAATCAATAAAAATGTTTGTTTTTTTTTTAAAAAAAGAAAGAGTCCCCATACCTTACGGAACTCCTTGTAATAGGCCTTCCTTGTGGCTTCATCATCCAGCTGAGGAAACATATTTAATTCCTGCAAAGCTTCCTCCTAAAGGAAAAAAGAAGAGAATGGTCCATGGGAGGAAATAGAGCGAGAAAGAGCCAGGGCATTGGAGACCATGTGAAGCTGGGGGAGCCACGTGAGTCCCAGCCACCAGAGCTGGGAAGTGGAAGAACACACGGGCCCACATGGTACCTATGTGTGCCTATGTGTATGTGTGTATTCGAGCACCAGAGAGAGGCCTGAGTGTGCATATGGGTGTGTAAAAATTAGCCTGCTATATTTAGTCAAACATTTAAGTAACTCACCCCTAATGCCTTGGCAGGGCCAGACCAAATAATTTTGCGGGACTTTTATGGCCTGCGGGCCAGAAGTTCCCCACCTCTGCCTTAGTCCTCCCAACCCCACTCCACCCCCCGTCTTTGGGTTCCAGCTTGGGAGAAAGGACCTATCCAGGGTTGTCCAGTCACACACAAGGCTCAAAATGGCTTTTTACCTCCCTCTCACCCTCCATCCCTCTGTCCTGTCTTCCCATCCTTTCTCCACGGACTGCCTACTTCCCTTCCAACCATTTCACATCCTTTTTCTCCCTTTCACAGAGCAATGGCAAAAGATGCTCTTGAGCAAACCCGCCCCAGTACTACCCAGAGGCAAAATTACTCTCTTACCTTGGACTCAAACTCCTCCTGGCGTCGCAGGACATCCTGACAGTAGCTCTCCATGGTCCTGCGTCTGTGTCTCTCTTGCTCCCGGGCAGCCTGCTGCTTCTCCCTCATCTCCTCAATCTAACAAGGGAACACACACCAGGACTGCAGCTGACTACGTCTGCAGCCTAAGGGAGGGACAGGAGACGGAGAGGAACAGGGAACGGGTGACAGTGGGAGGAAACTGTGGCATGGCAGAGGTGGAAGGAGCAAGGATACAGGGCGAAAGCAGATATGACAGCAGGATATAAGGGGTTTGAGAGAAAGAAAAAAAAACAGAGCGCTGCAGGAAGGGAAAGGGGGGCAGAGAACAGTAAAAGAAGGTCAAGGGGACCCAGCCAGTGTGGCTCAGTGGTTGACCATCAACCTGTGAACCAGGAGGTCAATTCATTCCCGGTCAGGGCACATGCCTGGGTTGTGGGCTCGATCCTCGGTGTGGGGCCTGCAGGAGACAGCCGATCAATGATTCTCACCATTGATGTTTCTTTCTCTCTTTCTCTCTCTCTCTCTCTCTCCCTTCCTCTCTGAAATCAGTTAAGTATATAAGAAAGGTATGGGAAGCTGAGAGAGAATGTGTTCCTGGCAGAGGAAACAAGAACAGAGGGAGAAGAGGACAAAGTCATGGGATGCCCCACCATTTAGAGCAGGGAGACTGGCAGAGAGAAAGGAGGACATCTAGGAGAGTAAGATGACAAGAAAGTCACAGTGAGAGTATTTCAAGGAAAGCAGGTCTCAAATGCAGAGAATTCAGATCAAATTAGATGAGAACTCTCCATCAGAGAATGCACTGGTGAGGCTGGCAAAGACCATTTTGGTGGAGCCGTGGGAACACAAGCCAGACAGCAATGGACTGGGAGGTGAGCAAATGGAGACACTAAGTCCAATAGCAAAGCAACATCCTCCCTTCCACATTCCACAACAGCCTCTACAACCCTAACCATTCTGGCCTCTGCCCTTCCATTCGCCACTCCTGAGGAACTGGCAGTCCAGGCAAGCCCCCTCTCCCCCACGGTACAGGGCTTACCCTCTTCTTCTTTAATTCAGCCTCCCGGTTGGTATGATCATTGGAGTGAACAAACTGGGGGGTGGAGACCAGCTTGAAGGCTGCTTTCTTCCCACTCTGCTTTACAGGATGGTCACCACACGAGAGGGAAAAAAAAATCAAACAGAGCTAATGAACCCCTGAAAATCACTCCCCAGGGAGCGGGTTAGAGCTTCTTAGAAGTGTTGTTGCCAAGGGAAAGGGAGGAGAAAAAAAAGGGCTTGCCCCAAAGATATGCCCTTCTTGCTAAAGAGAGACCCTCCCTCCACTACCCAGGCAGGAACTGACTGAAGAACCCCAGGAAAGGGAGGTGTAACTCGGAAGGTTTCCCAAGTAAAGGCAAAGGGAAAAGCTAAGTAGTTCTCAGAGTGTGGTCCTTAGACCAGCAGCATCATCACTTGGCAACTTGTTAGAAATACAAATTCTCAGAAGCCATGACAGACCCATGAATCAGAAACACAGGAGTGGGGGCCCAGTAATCTGTGTTTAACCAGCCCTCCGCAATTATCTAGGCGGGTTAAACACGTCCAAAGTGTGAGAACTTTGCCTGGCTGGTTTGGCTCAGTGGTTGAGCGTCGACCTATAACCAGGTCAGATTGATTCCCAGTCAGGGCACATGCCTGGGTTGTGGGCTCCATCCTCAGTAGGAGGTGTGCAGGAGGCAACCAGTCAATGATTCTCTCTCATCACTGATGTTTCTATCTCTCTGTTTCCCTCTCCCTTCCTCTCTGATATCAATAAAAATGTTTTTAAAAAATAAAATAAAGTGTGAGAACTTTAACCATCTGCTACAATCTGACAACCACTGCTTTGGCCCAAGTCTGACTTGTCCATATCTTTCCTAGCGGGGCCAGGAGATCCAGGAGCTGGAGCCAATCATTATGTTTCAGCCTTTCTCCTACCCATGAGTGACAGGGACTGGGACTCAGACTCAAGTCCCAGCTGCACTACCCCGAATCTAGGAACTTTCTCACTGAGCTCAGTTTCTCCATCTAAAAAATGGGACCACAGCAATGCCTGCCAAGGTAAATCAAGCACTAAGGAGCGTGTGGCTTGTGGTATAAACTTAATAAACGCTGCTGATTCTCTGCTGTGGCCACCCAGACAGAGAAGGAAAGCCAGATCCACTGAGTCCGATGTATTACTCTGTCAAGAGCAGCGGTTCTCAACCTGTGGGTTTCCAATCTGTGGGTCGCAACCCCTTTGGGGGTTGAACGACCCTTTCACAGGGGTCGCCTAAGACCATAGGAAAACACATATATAAATACATATTGTTTTTGTGATTAATCATTATGCTTTAATTATGTTCAATTTGTAACAATGAAAATACATCCTGCATATCAGATATTTACATTACGATTCATAACAGTAGCAAAATTACAGTTATGAAGTAGCAACGAAAATAATTTTATGGTTGGGGGTCACCACAACATGAGGAACTGTATTAAAGGGTCGCGGCATTAGGAAGGTTGAGAACCTCTGGTCTAGAGTCACCCACCATCTCTACTGGGTTTCTTCTAGGGCAGGTAACCTGTTCCTAGCCTTACCCCAACAGTGGGCACACCTTACCTGAGGGTTGGGCCAACTTACCTTCTTGGTAAGGTTGAGAACCACTGGTCTAGAGTCACCCACCATCTCTACTGGGCTTCTTCTAGGGCAGGTAACCTGTTCCTAGCCTTACCCCAACAGTGGGCACACCTTACCTGAGGGTTGGGCCAACTTACCTTCTTGGTAAGGTTGAGAACCACTGGTCTAGAGTCACCCACCATCTCTACTGGGCTTCTTCTAGGGCAGGTAACCTGTTCCTAGCCTTACCCCAACAGTGGGCACACCTTACCTGAGGGTTGGGCCAACTTACCTTCTTGCAGCCTTTGGAACCTTTACCTGGTTTCTTATTTTCTACAAAAAAAAAAAAAAGAAAAAGAAACAGGCTTCACTCACCTACACAACATTTCTTGATACCTTAAGGTCTGGCCGCACTGGGACCTAAGGATGCCTCTGACAACATGTTTGTCTAGGCCAGGGGTGGGCAAACTTTTTGACTTGAGGGCCACAATGGATTCTTAAACTGGACCGGAGGGCCGGAACAAAAGCATGGATGGAGTGTTTGTGTGAACTAATATAAATTCAAAGTAAACATCATTACATAAAAGGGTACAATCTTTTTTTTCAATAGTTTTATTCATTTCAAACGGGCCGAACGGCCC